GGGGGAGGGGATCCAGGAACTTGGTCACACTTCAGGTCAACATCCTGAGAAACAGCCTCATTGTTCCTGGGAATGGCTGCAGATCACTAGGGATTCCCCAGAGGAGGAGCAAAAGCATCCTCACGATTCAGCTATTACGCCGAGCAGGGAGTCCTGTGCATCAGCAAGTGCTCCGAATAGGAAGTCATCCCGGGGGGTGGCCGGCACATCCGCAAGAGCGTCAAACAGGAATTCTCCTGAGAGGGGGTTTGCCATAGAGGCGGCCCCTGACTCTGGCACCTCGGCCACTTACATGGGGGACTGGAATTATTAGGGCACACCTGCAACGCAGGTCACGTCCGAGACTGGTCACGGGCTCGAGGGACTAAGTTCCCAGGAGCAATCCATGGTAGTTGGGAAATCCTCAGCTCCACCAGCGGGTTGGGGGATTTTCTCTTCTCCAAGGGGACCTGGAGAGAGCCCAGACAACTCAGCCAGCACGCCTCAACAGGGGTCACCTGCAAATTATGAGCATCAAAGTCCTGGTCTAGCAAGCCCACCAGACGGGCCGGTAGGCCAGGCACCCTTAAGTACAAGTGCTGGTCTGCGTAGCCGGGCAGGTGAGCTGACAGGCCAGGCAACCTTCCTGACCTTGCGTAGGTCGCAATGGGCTAAGGCCTCTCCTAAGCATCTGGGAGAATATGTGAGGTTTCTGTCATCACAAAGGAACCTTGCTGGTCTAGGACAAGGTAATGGGACCCATGCTTGGTAAAAGATAGACACACTAAATCTAAAATTAAAGAGTGTGTTGTTCATATAACTTTATTATTTTATAAAAATGTTTTGCCTGTATGTGAGCAGGAAAATTCTTTTTTTTTTTTTAATTTTTATTAGGAACAATTGTACTTGTGTGTTCCATCTAGGGGAGAGGGGTGTTGTGTCCTGGGCCTGATGAGGCAACTCAGCAGGCCCAGAAATGTTGCAATCGGTCCTGGGCAACCTAAAAGCTGCCCAGGGCCAGACTAACTGGCGCCGGACTAATGCGCAAGCGCAAGGCACGAAGAAAGAGGTTTCCCTATTGGCTGGACTTCCTAGGGGTTGGAAGACTATAAAAGGCCTGCGTGCCTATTTGCAGAGTTGAGTGAAGTTAAGGAGCAAATAAAGAAGTTTGGTTACAACATGTGTCGTGCTTCAATGCCTCGAACCCCAAAACACAAAACTAGGTTTCATTAATTTCAGAACACCCAGTGTTGTCTGGAACCAGTCAATGTCTCTCAACCAAGATTTCTGCTCTAAATAATTTAATAGTCTCAATACCACAATAAGAAAAATGTAAGAAATCCAGGGGAAAGAAACTACTGTTAAAATTGCCAAATACATTTGTGAAAACAACTCCGCAATGTATAGTAAAGTGAGACAGGATTAGCTGACACATAGGTCCATCAGCCCAGAATTCTCTACAATTGCTTTCATATCTGCCTGCTATAAATCTGGTCCTGTTTTTCAGCTAGTTACTATCACTTCTCTGTTCTTTGATATTTGAGCAAATTAATTTAGGTTTAAGTAAAGCTATATGGGATGAAAAATGCCAATGCTGACATATTAAACACTGAGATAATTTCATCTTATGCTTATTGTAGATTCTCTTTTTCTGTAACCAGAAAGCCTGGGATGGTGCCATGGTAGTAAGATTGAAAATGTAAATTGAAAGATATCATTTGGCAGAATCCAAATAAAATTCAGGGTCTCTGTAGGCTAAGAATCTGAGTAATACACGGGCATTTAGATGTTCTAGTGTGAAACCTCTCCCACTTTAAGTAAATAAGGATGAACTCTTTTTGTTTGTCAAGCACCTAAAGGATACCAGGGAGGTCCACTGGTAATAGCTAAGAAATGAAGCCATTCTTTTAGGACACAAGGTTGTTTTTAGAAGAAATAATAGGCCCAAGAAGGCAAACGGCTAAAGTGCTACCAAGCAAGTTATAAATTACTAGAAATGAATCCGGGCAGTGGTGTATGATGGTAAGCAGTACATTTGGAGGAAAAAGCTTGACTCAGATACAAACAGAAAGAAAATCTGTTCACTATCCCATTCATCAGAGTTTGAAATTTACAACAGAAAAAAAGGGAAGGGCTTCCTAGTTAAGCGTTATGGCTGGTTAGATATCTCTATAAGTGGTTCTGCAGACAGAGATAGCACAGTGGTGAAATTACCAGCAAAGGGTCAATTCTGGCTGACAGAAAATTTTTCTTGAAGAAGGAGAAATTACAGCATTTATCCATTTGTGATCTGTAAGTGCTGTTCCTCTCAAAAATTGTAGGAATTTAGGTTTTGTTGTTGATTTTGGTTGTGAGCTGAATAGCTTGGAATCGAAGATTCACAATGTGCCCTAAATTATGCCCTAAATGCTCTATGGCCTTTTATTGACATTTCATGGGCAGCATTCTCATTTTCTTAATCACTTTATGACTTAACTGTTTTACAACTTAAGACAAATATTCTGAACACCAGTGAAGTTTAAATAATCTCAGTGAATGAGGGTTTTTTGTTTGAAGAATTCTGTTTAAAATTTTTTTAATTTCAAGACAAAAATCTTGACAAGATTGTGATATTTGAAAGTATCAAACGTAAAACAAGGGCAGTGATTTTTAAAAATAGAACTTTTTTTCTGTGATGAAAGTATCTTTGAATATAATAAACTTAATTAGGTTAACAGAATGTACCTAACTGGGAAATCTGACTACTTAAATAGACTAAAAGATTCAAGGCATAAAAAACAAAACTGAAAAAACCCTATCTTTTATTCTCACCATAGTAATTGACATACTGTGCTTTCACTTTCTAATCATGGCAACCACACACAAAAAAAATCTGCCAAACTGGGAGAAAGATGCAGAGTTCACTAGAACAACTTATCAGTAAGGGTATTTCATGAGATTTATTGCAGAAATTATTTGAATAATTTGGTAAAAATATAACTACAACAGTTAAAAAGGATATGGGAGGAAGTTTGGCAGGTATAAAAAAAGATCTGAAAGAAGCTAAGAAAAATGAAAAATCTATTCAGCAACTTGCTGCGCATTAAAGCAAATTATTGACAAAGTGGAAAAGAATTGATAAACAGAGAGATGGAGAGGACTTGGACAATTTGGCATTTTTGGAACTTAGGGGAAAATAATTTTGTTTAAGATTTAGAACAATTTCAGAAGAACATATTAGAGAAAAGATTGTTAAATTCTCTAAATTTTTGGACTGAGAGGAGGAGGATATTGATAGAGAGACTGATAAGTCTTATAGGATCATTACGCAATTTGCAAAATTAAGAAATGTTCCAAGGGATATCCGTGTATAATTTGTTAGGAAGTGGACAAAACATGAAGTTCTACAGCAGCATCTTAATACCAGAAAGAGGATTGATAATATAGATGTAATTGTACTTCAGAAACCCCAATTAGAACATTACATAAGAGAAAAAAGTACTTTTTTCTGATAGACAACAGAAAAAAATCCATTTAGGTGGGATAAGCTTAAAGAAGTGATTTTTTTTCTTTCAAACACAAGAAATTTAGGTTGAATTCTGTGCAAAAATTTTAAAAGAAGACTTAGAGAAAATATAAAGGGAAATGACAGTGACAGATGAGACTGAGCAAATGCCACAACATTAAAAAGACATTTAAAAAGACTCTACATTGGGTGCTACAGCCAGGCCTCCTATGAATCAACACCTGCCTTGCCTTGCTGGAAAGATCTCTGACAGCAAAATGCAAGCCAGAGCTACATTCTTGGTGCCTCTTTTGGAGGAAAGAAAAAAAAATAAGACCAGGTCTTATTTTCGGGGGAAAACAGTAGTAGAAGGATATACTTATAATAGTTCTCCCATTTACACCTGAATCTGAAAGATTTAAAATAGATATAAAGACTTAGGGCAGAGGTCCCAACTCCCAGGCCATGGCCCACTACCGGCCCTTGAGCCTTTTGGAACTGATCTGTGGAAATAGTTGGCGAGTGTGCGCATGCACTCTATTTGCACAAGCGGTGGGCGCGCATGCCCTCTGCTTAGCAAATGGAGCTATGCATGCATCCTTGCTGAGGGCATGCGTGGAACCATCTCCTCTTTCCTGTGCTGGTCCAAAAAGGTTGGAGAACTCTGACTTAGGGTATGGAGCAAAGTAAGTCACAATTTGACAGTTGTGTACTGATGAGCATGTAATTGCTAAAATGTACAAAATTAGATTTTCTGAAATGAGTAAATCAACTTCTTTAATTATAGAAAAAAATATCTTTGTTTACTGCTAACTAGAGGCCTCTTATGGACTTTTTGGTGTAAAAATGAAAATAATTAACTTGTGACGTAGTTTTGATAAATAGGATAGTTTATAGAAAAGAGTAAAATGATGTAACGTTAGAGAGAGTTGGAATTTGTACTTATAACTACTGCGAAGAATATACAACATCAATACTTTATATGTTTTCTTTTTTTACTTTTTCTTTTTCTTGCACTTTTTGCTTTAATTCCTTTTTTCTTTCTTATTACTAGTTTGTCTTAGCTTTTATCTTCTTATTTTAAAATTTTACTAAATATTATACTAGAAATATGTAAATCTTAAGATAGATCCTACATCTATGAAATATGCTTGTTGTTGATCTCGGATATAGCCATTAGGTTTTTTTTTTCCATTTTTATCTTTGTACAAAGTGAAAATGTCTGTTGTCTTGAAGGCATTATGAGGTTTTATATGACATGCTGAGAGCCATATTCCCAAAGAAACCAACCTGGAAGATACTTTTAGTGAGGCATTTTGCCTCTTAAAACCCACAGAAAATCAGAGAAATGGTCTTATATTTTGATCTCACATCTTTGGGGAATAAAAAAGGAAAGCTGGCAAGCAGTTGGTGACTTCTGGATTGTATTGTTTTTGTATTTTCTTTTCCACTGATGATATCACTCTTGAAGAAAATAAAATTGTATTGGAGATCACTTGAAGTATTTTTCTGTTAATAATTCTTTCTTTTCTGATAGGTATTGATGATGTTGTGGCGATAATGATCCCTGAGCCAAAGGGGAAAGAAATAGTGAGCCTATTGGAGCGGAATATTACTGTAATGATGCACATAACAGTGGGAACCCGTAACCTGCAGAAGTATGTTAGTCGTACTTCTGTGGTGTTTGTATCCATCTCCTTCATTGTGCTGATGATCATCTCCTTAGCATGGCTGGTCTTCTACTACATTCAGAGGTTCAGATATGCAAATGCCAGAGACAGGAATCAGGTGAGTGGTATTTCACTTGAAAATAAATATCAATTCCCTTCCTTTAAAAAAAATCAACATAAGCAATGGTGTATATATGTTTTTACCTTCAGATTCCAGAAATCTGAGAATTACTGATTGGGAATTTTTGTTAAAATGTAAACAGAGTCAAAATTGAATTGATTTATGTCATATTTAAATTGTTTAGTGCCCATCATAATGAATGTTTCTTAATGAGTATTAAAGAGAGCATTATTTATATTATTTGCATAAGAAGTAAAGAAAAGTGTATTTCGTACAGTTAAAGATAGGGACAAAGAACAGGAAGTTGATCAGCTAGGTCCCTCTCCTCTTACCTAAGGCACATAAGCTAGCACAATGTTGTTTAATATAGTTTTTAATTTGGAATACATCAGTGAAGGGATTAATACAATTCATATCTCATAATGCAGGCAATGAATTCAATTAATAAGCAGCACAATTTATGTCACTCTTTCTTACTCGAGTACAAGAATTTCCAACTTGATGTGATTGCGCCACTAATATGGGTCATCAAAATTATCCTTCAGCATGGATAATTCCAAAGAAGGAGAAGGAGATCGCCATGGATTTCATTGTGGAACTTCCTGAGAGTTTCAGGAATACCATGATTTGGACTGTGATTGATCTGTTTTTGAAGCAAGCACACTTTGTAGTGTGTAGTGTGACACCCCTGTCCTAAATACATAGGACCCATGCCAGTTGTGAAAGTCATCAATCCAGTAACTGTTGAACTACGGTTGCCAAAAGAATTGAAGCAAATCCACCCAGTGTTCCATTGCAGTTTGCTGAAACCCTTCAAGGGATCTAGCTTAAGACCAGATGGAGAACAACCTCCTCCGCCTATATTGGTGGAGGGTGAGAAGTATTATGGAGTTAAGAAAATACTGGATTCAAGAATTTTTAGGGGAAAGTTACAATACTTAATCCAGTGAAGAAGTTACCCCTTAGCTCAGTGGTTCTCAACCTTTTTAATGCCGCGACCCCCAACCGGTCGTAAGTCGAGGATTACTCAACTGGTGCAGCACCGTTTGCAGAATGGGCTTTTGGCAGGCTCAGCAGGGCAGAGACAGCCTGGACAATTCCTATTGGCTTTTGAAAGCCAATAGAATTAGACTCTACTCAAGAGAGTCTATTCTATTGGCTTTCAAAAGACAATAGAATAAAAGGGAGTAGCACAGCTAAGGAAAAGGGGGGAAAAAAGGGCAGACTGCGTTGTTTGGCGACCCCCGTGAAATGGTCGTTCGACCCCAAATGGGGTCCCAATCCACAGGTTGAGAACCACTGCCTTAGCTGATGCTGAATGGGTAACAGCTGATAATGTTAAGGCTGACAGGTTAATAAATATGTTCAATGTTCAAGAGGATATTGTTGGAATGGTTGTTTAATTATGCCCATTGTTTTCCTATGTTTACCCTTCTTTCAGGGGCCGGCATGTCAAGGTTGAACCACTAAGATGCCTGCTAACTTCTATCATTACTCAACTTTCCAAAAAATGGGGGAGGGGTAGAAAGCGTAGGGAGTAAATGGGATTTTAAGAAGCTGTTCATGGACCATGAGAGTCTACAAGAATGCCAAGGGCACTAATGCAGGTGTCTGGCAACGGAGTGGACTGTTCTCATAACAAACCAAAGAGCTATAATTGGACAACGTGAACACCCAGTGGGGGGCGTTAAGGGAAGCTAGGTAGATTTTTGCGTGGGAAAATCAGAGCTGGTTTTGTTTCTTCAGTTACGAGATGTGTATTCAATGAAGTTTAACTTTTATGGTTTTCAAAGCCTTGAAGATTCCTTTTTTTGGGCCTGCTATTTGGATGGCTAACAGTTGGAGTTATGGTTTGAAAAATGTTTTATGTAAATAGATCAGAACTCTCAGGTACATGGTACCAGGCCCACACAGTCAGTAGATCAAAGTCTTTATTGTTGCAATGCCTATGTCAACACTGCTAACATCAGATGTTTTTGCATTGACAACAGATGGAAATGTAGCCATCTTTTATCTTTTTGCTTTTAGAGTTAGATGATGCTGGGAGGAGGGATGTGAATGAGAGTCTAGCTAGACATAACAACACTAAACCTAGCGTGAGAAACAAGATTATTGTAACCAGAGCTGATAAGGAATTAGTGGGCTGGAGAACTGGAAAGGAGGCCCGTACTTCAAGCTAATTGGGGGATGTGATTTATGATGTTAATTGGAGGAGGGAATTGTGCTTTGATACTATGCTCAAGGGAGGGGAATTCACTTTTTGGCTTTGATTATGCAGTGCCGATATTATGCTACTCAAAATAAAGATTCTTTAACGTAAACAAAGCCTTGAAGTTCTTTTGAAGAGTTTCATCTGTCGGAATCATGACATTAAGCTAAAAACTACAACTTTTTCCTAACTATCTTGTGGTCTCAAGCCCCAGTCGCTGTCCCTAGAAAGGAGGGATAAGCTGACAAAGATTCGGGGAAGACCTCAGCATGGAGAAAGAGAGGACACCTGAAACCAGCACCCCGAGGGGAGAGCGACAGCCAGCATGCCGATGGAGAAGGAACTTTTTCAGGCGACTCAGGTGGGGGCAAAGCCCAAGCCATGAGGACAGCTGATCTGGTCGTCGGAATGGAGCCTACCCAGCAAAGACTCCAGACACCTTGAGATGGCCTTGCCACCCTCAAGTGCTTCAAAGCCAGATGGAGCTGAGCTGCTATGAAGGGACTGCTGCCCCCCCCCCTGTGCAGTTCAGGCAGCCTCCCAATCCTCGAAGCCACCCAGCCCAGGGCCCGCACAACAGTGGAAAATGTCACAGCCTCCCCAGCTGGGAAGCCAGCAGCCGCTGGTGGTGCAGCAGCCAGATTGGGGATGGTGACAGCCCCTGAAAAAACAGCAGCAGATGGGGATCTTGCAACAACCGTGAATGATGCAGCTGCCAAGGAGTCAGCAATCACTGGGAGTGCTGTAGCAGCAATGGGACTGGCAGCCACCCCCGAATGTGCAGCAACTGCTGGAGGGAGCATAACTGATGGAGATCAGGCAACAACCACCTCCAGGGCCGCAGGAGGGCCTGCGGCAATTGGGGGCAAGACAAACCCCCTTAGACCAACAGCAGTGGGGATGGCAGCAACCCCCACCCTTGCAGCAACTGCTGGGAGGCCCACAGCAGCTGGGAGTGCTACTACAGCAAGCGCTGAGACCGTTGGGAGGCTTGGAACAATTGGGAATGCAGCAGCCACGGGGGGGCAGCAACAGCTGGGGATGCAACATCCACAGTGGGGAGGCCAGCAACCACTGATGGCACCACCTCTTAGAGTCACCTTTGATGGGGACCCGGAGAAACTGATTTTTTTCCTCAATCAGGTGCGCTCTCACTTGGACTGCTGTGCCTATCTTTATCCGAACCCAGCTGCTATGATCAACATGATTGCGTCCACCTTAGAAGGAAAATTATCCGAGTGGCTGAACAATTTATATAACGAACAAGCACCGAGTTAGAAGACCTCCATCTCTTCCTCTTAGGACTGAGAGCAAGGTCCATCCATTGCTCTCAAAGCAGAGGAGCAAATCCACAAAATAAAACAAGCCAGCAGGCCTGCATTGGAATATGTATGAGAGTTTCACAAGATAGCTGGCCGAATAGAGAGGTGGCCTGAGCAATCTCTGGTCCATCACTTCAGGGAGGGACTAGACGATCATCTCTTCCAGGCTTGTATTTATCGAGCAGTCCCTGATCAGCTGCAAGAGTGGTACCAGGCAGCAGTAAGATTAAATGTTCAGATTGCCCGCTATCAGAAGTCACACACACCCAGGAAGCCAAGTCGAGGCCAAATCAACCCAAGCGACAGCCACCTCCCCGAAAGCCTCCAACCATTGTGGCTGCAGAGAATCCCAGACTACCTGCTGGGCCAGTGTTTCAGATGCGGACAGCAAGGGCACCGAGCTGCAAATTGCCCAGTCCCTTACCCCCAGCATCAGAACAGACCGGGACCACCAGCGAGGAAGAAACTAACCCAGCAGCCAACAATAGAGAAATCCAACTGGATCATACAGGAACCTGTTGCTCAAGCCACGTCCCCCACGCAAGAGAGTGCCAAGACCCAAGCTGGACCTGCCGTTGCTCTACCCTCCTACGACAGCGACAATGAAGGAGAGAATGACCCCATGGTGAGTCGACACATCCCACCTTTTTCACTACCTGCCAAACTCATAATCTTTAAGACAGGGGCACAGGTAGATTTAAAAGTACTAGTAAACTCCGGATGCTCCCAATGCGTTATTAGCTTGTCACTTGCCCTGAAAATGGGCATAAGAGCAAAGCTACTCTCCAAACCCGTGAGGTTTGAGCAAGCTGATGGCTCCCTAATGGGCGTAACTTTAATCACACAATTGACCAAACCCCTACACTCAGAAATAGATGAGCATTGGGAGTTCATTCATTTCCTGTGGCTCCAAAAATGACTGAGGCTGTGATACTAGGGCTGGCCTGGTTAGACAAATGGAAGCCATTTATCAGGTGGGAGAAGGGAATGAGGACTGTAAGGCTACCTAGAAGACCAAAGACCCCCACTAATTCAATGAACGTTACAGGAGACTTTAGCCCACTCAATAAGCTAGTGCACATGGCTGCCTTATCGCAACCAGGCAAACCACTGATCCCCAGCGAATACCGGGACCTAGCAGAGGCATTTAGTGAGAAAGAATGTGACACTCTGCCTCCTCACTGACCCAATGATTGCTCCCTCAAACTATTACCGGGACCCAAAGTCCCACAACCGAGGATGTATGCTATGTCCCCCCTTGAAATGGAGGAGATGCAGTGATATGTGGACAAAAACCTAGAGAGGAGATTCATTGAACGGGCTAAAAGATGGGTTGCTTTGTCTCTGGGTGGATTATAAGGGTCTGAACACTGTGATTGTGGAAAATAAATACCCCCTACCCCTCCTGAAGGACTTACTAACCCACCTGGCAAAGGGAGGTTTCTTCTTAAATTAGACCTGAGGAT